CTCTGCCACTATTTCTGGATTCTTCTTTTTTTTCTTTTTTTAGAATATCCTGCAGTATTCTCTGTAGGGTTGAATTGGTGGTTGCATATTCCCCTAGTTCCTCTTTATCCTGGAAGCACCTTGTTTTTCCATCAATTTCCAGGGATAGTTGTGCAGGATATATCAATCTTGGATGGAGGTTACTATCTTTCAAAGCTTGAATTATTTCCCCCCATGCTCTTCGTGATTTGATGGTTTGTGCCGAGAAGTCTGCTGTAATTCTGATGGTGTTCCCTTGTAAGTGATCTGTTTCTTGTCTCTGACAGCTTTTAATATTCTGTTCTTATATTGGATTTCTGGTATTTTGATTATTATATGCCTGGGTGTAGCTCTGTTTGGGTTGTAGGTGGCTGGAGTCCTGTATGCTTTATACATCTGAGTATCTTTAACTTTTGCTAAATTAGGAAAATTCTCCTGGATTATTTCTGCAAGTAGCGTTTGTAGTTCATTTGTTTGTGTCCCTACTTCTTCTTTTATGTTCTTTATTCTTAAGTTATAGATCATCTTATCATCTTCTAGTCTTTGTATTATTGCTGTTTGTTTCTTGTTATTCTTAACAAGTTTTTCATTTCATGCTCCCATATTACAAATCTGCCCTCCAGTTCAGATAATCTATCCTTAGTTTCTTTCAAGCTGTTATGACAGTTTTCGATAGAGTTTTTAGTTTCCTGGTAATCTCTTTGAACCTGCTCACGTATTCTATGTTTTCTCTATTTTCTCCATCAAACAATTTTGCCCTTTTTTTCTGTTCGTCCATTCCACCATCTGTTTTTTCTTGGGTAGTGCTTAGCATTTCTCTAACTATTCTGCTTATGTCTTGCTTCAGGTCATTAATAACTTCATTCCTGAACTCGCCTATGAGGCTCTGGCGATAGCACTTTATGTCTATTGGTTCTGTGTCTGTTTATTGCGTGTTTCTCAAGATTGGGGGCCAAGGAGCTTTTCTTATTGCTCCCTCTTCCCTTATTCTTTGTTCCTTAAATACAAGAGTATAGAGGAGGCCCAGCTTCCTTCCCTGTCAGCCACAGTCTGTTTGAATTGCACTGTCTAGGTGTTCCCACCCACCACAGTGCACCAGGGAGTTATGGACGGGGCAGCCTAGGCGGGGCCCGCCCCTCCAGGTCAACCTACCGAAGGCTTCACTGCTAGGGTGCACCTCCAGGCACTGGGACCTGGGTTGTGCTAGCCTACTAGGTCTCAGCCAGCAACGTCATGTAGGCTAGGCACTGCTTACCAATCCCACTTGAGAGGGCGATATATGACTGAGGTCACTACAGTGCCCTGTTTCAGCAAGTCTGCCTGGTCCCAGAATGTCCTCTGTTGGAGCCTCCTAGACCATGGGAGAGTCCCAGTTTCCCTCACTCACCGCAGGTCAGTGCACGGCTCCCTGCCTGTCCCACTCTCAACTCCATTCACCGATTCCCGTTCTCAGAGCTTTCGCCTGTCTCTCTCCCTGCCGAGCCGATTCAGTCATAGCAGCAACAGCAGGAAACCCAAATCACGTCTTCCAATGGCGCGGGCTCCAGCTTCCACGCTGAGGCTTTATCTGTTTCTATTATAGCACCAGGAGTGCATTCCCAGTTGGTTTCTCGCAGCCCAGTTCATTCTTGGGTCAGCAGGGTATATCTCCTCTTGCTTAGGATTCCTCACTCCGCACCATTCCTGGATTCTAAGCTGGGTCTCTCATAAAGCCTTGGTAGCTGCTGCTATCTGTCCACCATGTTCTCCCCGAAGTCCAGTCTATTTATTTTAATTGGTGAATTGAAGTCATTTACATTGTTGGTTATACATAATATATATTGGCTTATTTTTGTTGTGTTATCATTCTGCTGTTGATTCTTTACCTTTCCCTTCTATTTAATTATTTGCCCTGCTTGGTAGCTTTTTTTTTTTTTTTTTTTTTTTTTTGGTGTTCTAGAAGTCATAGTTATTTTTTATCTATGTAGAATATCTTTCACTATTCTTTGTAGGGTTGGTTTGGTGATCATGAAGTTCTTCAGCTGTACTTTGGCATGGAAGTATCTTATTTCTTCATGGATTCTGAAGAATAGTTTTTCAGGGTACATCAATCTGGGTTGGAAGTGGTTTTCTTTTAGGATTTAAAATACTTTATGCTCTTCTTGACTTGATTATTTGTGTCAAGAAGTCTTCTGTGATTCTGTGATTCTTGGGCTTTCCTTTATAGGTAATTGGTTTCTATTCTCTAACAGCTTTTAATATTCTGTTCTTATGTTGAAATTCTGGGTTTCTGATTATTATATGTCTGGGTATAGATTTATTTTGGTTATGGCTAATTGGAATCCTATATGCCTCATTTATCTGTATGTCGGTTTCTTTTCCTATGTTTGGGAAATTTTCTGCTATTACTTCCGCAACTAGTCTTTTTATATCATTTGTGTTATCACCTTTTTTCATTTACACTTATCAGTCTTATACTGTTTTGCTTTGCATCATCTTGCAACTGTTGAATTATTACTTCCCAATATCCTGTTATTTTTAAAAGATCTTTATTTCCTGTTCCCTACCAACAATCTTATCTTTGAAATCTGAAAGTCTAACTTGATTTTCCTTGAGGTGATTTTGCCAGCTTTCAATGGAATTTTTATTTCCTGGATATCGCTTTGAATCTGTTTCATGTATTCTGTTTCTTTCTTATATTTTTCATTCAAGGTTTCCATCTTTTTGCAGTGCTCTCCAAATTTTTTTACTACGTTTTCTTTAGATGTGTTTAGCATTTCTTTTATTATGTTTATCACTTCTTCTTTTACCTGGCAGATTATTTCTCACCTGAGTTCTTTACAGCTTCATGGAGCTGTTTCTTTGCCTAAGTTGCTATCATTTCAGAAATTTCAGGTGTGTAATTTACACTTGCTTCTATTCCCATGTCTCCTAGGTTTGTTTGGGATGGGATGGAGGTTTAAGATTGCATTTTGCTCTTCTGTTTTGTCATTTTCCTGTATTTGCCTTGGGCAGCCTGAATGCAAAGTCTCAGTTGTTTCCTGGATTGAGGTTAGTTGTCCACTCAATTTTCCCAGATGAGTGGTGGTCATTAGGCAGGCCTTACCGGGTCCTGAGAGGCCCATCAAGGCTCCTTGCTTGCTTGGGGTTGCTGGACCATACCCTACCATGTTCTGAGCAGTGCACCAAGCTGCATGGCTAGGTAGAGTACACTGTACAGGCCATAAACTTGCACCATGTGATGCATCAAAGCTCTCTGTTTGCTTGAGGTTTCTGGACATGACTCTACCAGGTTTTGAGTAACACATCAAGACTGCACAGCTAGGTAGAGTACACTCTGCAGGCCTTAAACTCATGCCATATGATGCACATTTTCTTTATTTTTTCACTTGTTGATGGACATATGGGCTTTTCCCAAAATTCAGCTGTTAAAAATTGTAATGCTATAAACATAGGTGCCATATGTCATTGTAGTATGATGACTTTAACTCTTTAGGGAAGATATCCAGAAGGGAAACAGCTCTGTCAAGTGGATCCTTTAATTTTAGTTTATTGAGGAATCTCCATAATGATTTCCATAGTGGTTGTACAAATCTACACTCCCACCAACAATGGAAAAGCCTTCCTTTTTCTTCACAGCTTCACAAGCATGTGTTATTGGTTGATTTGATGATATCTATTCTCTCTGGAGTGAGAGGGAAACTCGGTGTTGTTTTAATTCACAATTCTCAAATGGCAAGCATTTTTTCATGTATTTATTGAGTGTTTTTACTACTCTATCTAGCAAGCATCTTCTCATTTCTGAGACCCATTTTATTTAAATTGAGAGGGTCTAATTTTTTGAGTTCTGTATAGTGTTATATATTAGTCTTCAGTTTGAGGAGTAGCTGGCAATTATTTCCCCATTCAGTACCTTGTGTCTTTTTTCTGTTGATTTTCTTTGCGGTACAAAAGCTTTTTAATTTGATGTAAGGAAACATTCCTAAAATTCACATGGAACAAAAAGAAACCTAGAACAGCAAAAGTCATTCTGGGCAACAAGAGCAAGGCAGGGAAAATCACAACCCGAAAATTCAAGTTATACTACATAGCTACAGTGATTAAAACATGGTATTGGCAAAAGAAAAAGAGAGAGAGACAGATTTGTGGATCTATGGAACAAAATAGAAGACAAAAAAAGAATTCAAAGCATGTTCAGCAACTTTATCTTTCAAAAAGTGGAAAATCCATTCACTAGGGAGAAGATAACCTCTTTAACAAATAGTACTAGGAAAATTGGCTTTTTATGTGCCAAACATCGAACTTAGACCTGTTATCCCTTAACGTGAAGTAACCTAAGAATGAAATGGATCTGAGATCTGAATGTTAAAACAGTAACAATAGGTGTAGGCAAAAATTTTATGATTAAAACCCCAATTACATATAAAATGTTTAAAGACTCAACAAACTGTCTACTTCTTTAAAGCAAGAATCACTCAAATGTCTATCTTTTAAACAACTTTTCTAAATAGCAGTTGCACAATTTTTTATAGTGTGTGCATTTTTAAAGTGGCAACTTATTTAAATAACTCAAAGCTTCTGGAAATCTCCTGGGAGATTTCTAGAAACCTAGGTTCTTTGAAGGTGGCATCAGAAGATTAGGTACACAAAGGCAGGGTAAGGAATGGTTAAGGTGACATTTTCATTAGTGTATCTTAAAGAATGCACAGAAAAGGGAAGGGGCTTGGGAACCTACCCCAAAGGGGAAACAAGTTGCCACATATGGAAAAAGATGGTACAAGGAGGAGATCAAAGAGCTTCCTGTGGTTACCCTGGGAAGAGCCCTCTGAGCAAGTTCTTTGATTTGGTGCTTGCCCACCCACATGGCATCCTAAGTCTCTCTAGTCTGGCCACCCAAACTGAACTCTCCTGAATGCCAGAGAACAGAGCAGGCCATGGAAAGAAAGAAATCTAACCAAGATTGACCTGAGCCGCGGGAGACAGGAGGCCAGACTCGAGCAGGATCAGCTCTCAAACTTTATTACGTACAGCGAACCGGACCTGACAAGGTCCGCCACCCTCAACGTTGGTTCCTCTTCCGCCGTTGGGGGCAGGAACAACCTCTTATAAGGGGAAGCAGTATCCAATCACAGAGAAGCGCGCCTAACAAGCTGATAGGCTAGCGTCACGGGTAACTGGGCAGATATGACAATTTGGCGGGCTTGTTCAGGCCGGGAAGAACCCGGAAGCAGGAAATGGGCACCATTCATAGGCGGCTTCCCACATCTCCCCCTTTTTTATTTATTAAAATAGGATGGTCTGTGGGTCCCTCCAAGGTGTCTATGACCTTGTTGCTGTTAGACACCTAGGAGTGGGCCTACCTTGTAGGCCGAGGCATGAGAGAATGTAGAGGTCTATACCCTGCTGTGCATCACCCTGTTTTGTGCATATCCTTGCGCCAGGACCATGCTCAAGGTGAGTGGTTCATTTTTTCGCAGGGCCAGGCTTTTGTGAACCGAACCTGGATGCATATAGACATTCATTCCTGCCTTCCCCCCAAACTTTGAGGCGGATGGCACTGCAGTACCCTTGGTCTCGCATCTCAATGCCAATAATTTGACTCCGGGAGGGACCCCTGGCCTTATAGGCCATATATATCTGAGTGGAGCCTGTCTTAGGTTGACTGGGAGGGCTTTTCCCGTCTTACCCGTCATTGGCTTGCCCACTCAGCTCTTATAGCTGATGTTCTGCAATGTGAAGGAGATATGCGGCGGCCTGCTGGCCTGATGGGCTACCTGCTGCCATTTGCATGGCTGCCATAGCTGTGATCTTAACCTGCTGCTGAGTTTGTATGAGGCGATCTAACAAGCATTTAATAACCACAAGCCCTACTAGGATAGCCATGGCAATTAGCATAATCAAGGACTGTTTGATTGATGGTGTAAACCCTGGGTGAGGCGGGCGAGGCCGCCGAAAAAGGTGCCAATGTGGGCGGGTGGTGCCAAGGACCCCAAAGATATTGTGGTGGTTCTGTGGAATCTGAGCATATCACAGGGGTGATTAATAGGAACCCACAGAATAGAAAAAACTCCAAACCAGACATTTTAGTTTGTAGATGGTCTCGGGCGCTGAGCGTCGGTCCCAGAAGGGTCGAGTTGACTTGTGTCTGCGGGCTTATCAGCATCTGGAAAAATCCTGTTAGCGGCCTCAAGCATGCGGGCCACAAAATCTGAAAATGGCTCTCCCTGCCCTTGTATAATTTTTGTAAGGTGACCCGTATGTCTCCTCGCCCTAATAGCATATCCCTGTTCCACTCTCTCTGGTTATTTTCCCTGTTGGCTGCCGCCTGCTCTACACAGAATTCCTCATTCCAGGACTTATTGTCCGGGGGAGAGGCAGGCGCGTGCCAGCTGGGTCCAATCTCCAGGAGTTAAAAGCAGACCTGCCAATGCCTCTAAAAGCGCCATGGTAAATGGCGCATTGGGCCCATAAGCTGAAACTGCGTCCTTGATAGTTTTAAGTTGTTTAATTTCTAAGGGCTCATAATATCCTCCTCCTCCCCTGCCTCCTACTTGTACCGGGAATGCATGGAGACCGGAACACTCAAAGGGAAGCCGCGACCATACCCTCTGGTGGAAGGAACGTCCTCCTCCCTCCCCAGATGGGGGCGCAGAAGGCAACCCAGGAAGTAGCTCTCCCTCTAACCAGGGCGGTGCCATAGGTTGTGGTGGCAGCCCAGGGAGCAACTCCTCTTCCGGCCACAGCGGTGCTATCTTCCCGAGCCCTGAATTCGCGAACTTGCCAAAGGGCGGAAGGGCTTAGTGGGGCCTGGCGCCCTGAAGGGGGTGATCGTGGGTGTTTGGTTCCCCTTTTTATCTTCCCGAGCCCTGAATTCCTCTTTAAGCTGTGCAGGAGGGTCCTGTTTAGCGAAGACAACCTCCTCTTCTGAACCTTCCGAATCAGAATCAGAATTAGAGCCCTGAGGGTCCTCCGGAGACCCACAATCGGCAGTGGCTCCGGGCTCCTCTGAGCATTCCAATCGAGCTCTATATTAGCGAAGCGAAAGCAAAACAGATGCAAAGGGAAAAGAAAAGAAAAAAAAAAAACCCAGCGTCCACTCGTGTGGCGCTCAAAATCTGTTAGGTGCGTCCACCCAACCCAGGTGACCCAGTACTCACCTGTCCCGGGAACCGCTGTATCTCACGTAGCTGATCAGGGTGAAGAGAAGAGGTGCTCGCGGCCTTCCGTTGTTATTGGGCCAGGTCCTCCGTCGTACCGCAGGCGACAGCAATCGCACCTCCTGGCCGAAGAGGCACGTCGCTGAGTCTTTTACCTTTTTCCCCGTACGGGCGGCCACCAGATGACCGGAGCCGCGGGAGACAGGAGGCCAGACTCGAGCAGGATCAGCTCTCAAACTTTATTACGTACAGCGAACTGGACCTGACAAGGTCCGCCACCCTCAACGTTGGTTCCTCTTCCGCCGTTGGGGGCAGGAACAACCTCTTATAAGGGGAAGCAGTATCCAATCACAGAGAAGCGCGCCTAACAAGCTGATAGGCTAGCGTCACGGGTAACTGGGCAGATATGACAATTTGGCGGGCTTGTTCAGGCCGGGAAGAACCCGGAAGCAGGAAATGGGCGCCATTCATAGGCGGCTTCCCACACAAGATGGTTTTGCTTACTTTAAGAATTTATCCTTAAGGAAAATGCAACAGCAAGAGGAACCATGGTGGGAGTAGGGGAGCAAAACCAAAAAAACAGAAAAAGTTCTAGTGAAAAATCATTTTGTGAACTTGGATAGATCACATTCTTTACTATATCATTAATGAATTGGGATTTTTGAGAATTTGAGTAGCTCTGTTTTGGCCTGGACAGTATTTCTCTTGCTAAAGAATGCTTGACTGTGCTTACCAGAGGAATATCATTGTAAAGTCGTAGAGATAGATTATTTTCCTAGGGGTAGTAGAAAAACTAAAACAATTTTTCCCAGAAGCTGAGATTATAAAAACAGTATTATAATGGTCTGTTGCATTTTTTCCCTCTTTGAAATTGATGCACAGAAGTAGATCATCAGAATATAACTCACAGACTCACAAGATCAAGCACATATATCAGCTGCTATGGAAATACGTCTTATAAGATGCATAAAAGATTCAAGTGAATAATTAAAGGGAGAAGTAGATTATTTCTCTTTTTATTTAATATTTGTGTTACAGAATTTCAAGAGGCAAATTAGTGGAAATTTCTCTTCCTAGATGATTTTCTGGCAAGAAAATTGATTTAATGATTGTTGGTGGCAACACTTTCCTATCATAGTGAACAAAATGGAGACCCACAGTGATCCTGAGGCTAGCTCATTATTTCTAGATCTGGGATTCATATCTAAGATGTAAGTCTCCTAATTATTTTTTTCAAAGGGCTTCTGTGTTTCCCAAGACATTTCAAGTGTCATCTTTCAGAATGGATAACTTGTAGCAGATCTACCCCGCAAGCCAGTATACTTCATTTTGTTAGGAATAGTTCTGGTTTCTAAGAAACTTTTGTTTCTTAGAAATAACTGGTAACTGTGATGTATAGTTGATCACTATAATGCATACTGTAAGAACAAATACCCAGTTGACAAGTTATTCTGCCTCTATACTTCCTGCTTGTTTGCTTCCCATATAAACCCTAGACCACCAGAGATCAAGGTCTAATATTGTGGGAATGATTCTGATCAGTGCCCATTGACATAAATAAATCTGCCTCCAAATCTTCAATTTCATTTTCCTGATTTCTGTAAGAAAACTCATAGGTAGAAGAAGCATTTAATTTTTGTGTTTATATTTGTAACTTGTAAACATGGTAAGGTCTACCAGGCTGTTTTCTTACAAACATCTATGAGACACAGATACCTGACTATCCAGGCCCACCTCAGTCTGAATCTCTCCTTGCTCTGTCAGCATAGATGGTTAGGATAGAATGAGCTCTATCAAAAGGACCCCCTGATATCGCATGTTCATTGCAAAAGTCAGGAGCAAACCAGGGACTTTCCTGGTAGGGCAATGGAACAATATTAATTGCTTTCAAAAGTTCCCTCTGACAAAAAGTTATCATCACCAGGGCAACTTGATCTCTCACTTTTAACACTTTCACAAACTTGTAGCCTGGGAGGACATCTCATCTAATGTGAATTCTGGTATAAGTCGGTCCCCATATTTTTCTGGGAAGAGACCTCATCTTCTAGTTGGAAGTGACCACCTCCTTTATGTCAATCCATTCAGTTTCCCCCTTTGTTCACCCTGCACTTTAAACTTTGACTGTATCTCAGAAGGAAGATGATGCCTGCATCAGCTTAAGACAGGTAACCATAATCATAAAGTTCTAAAAACTCTGCTCCCATAGGTATGATATAAAGACTTGCCTCTGGGCCTGTTCGTCAACCACACCACCTCAACATGATTCCCATTGCTGTCAGATGTTACAGGAAGCATAAACAGGCATCCAGACACATATCAGCTTGTTAAACTGTTAATCACCTTGGTAAAATCTCCATGCTATCAATAATGCATCCATCATCTTTCATTCTGCAGTTCCCAACCCACACATCCTTTTTCAAATGTTACTCAGTTGTTAAAAGGGTTTTGGAACTCTCCCACTATTTTGGGGAGACCCTAGCAAAAGATTTTGTTGTGGAACAGCCTATTTATCTGTCTCTTCCAACCCAAGGAAAAAAATGAGTCTTCAAGACTACAAACTGTCTATAGACTGTCAACTGCTAAGATACACCTTTCCCGCCTATAAAGCCAGTTCAAGATCTCTGAGCTGCCAATGCATTGCAATTGCCCTCCATACATGTTGACTCAGTTTAAAACTACCCACAGCCTGCTGGTACACTTGCTTTGACCTAAACACTCTCTTCTTCTGCCTTTGATCGGCTCCTGCCAGCCAGCCCCTTTTTGCCTTTGAATGGAAAGACCCCTGTTCTGGACTCGAATGTCAGTTAACCTGAACTCAGAGGTTCAAAAACTCATTTACCCTCTTTGGAGAAGCCCTCATAGTTGACCCTGCTAGTTTATCAGCACAAAATATCATTCTGATTAATGACACCCACACTGCTGGAAAGGCACAAAAGCTCTGCTGCAATATTTGGCAGAAACTGGTTATAAGAATGAAAGTCCACAAATTTCTTGGACCTGCTGGCTTCTATAGATTCTTGCTCCTAGATGCTTATTCAGACTTTTAGCCGCTAGGAATGCCCAGTGGCCTACCTGTACAAACACTTGGATCCACCAAGAGCTGTTTCCTTCTTTACCTTCACACTCTAATAGCCATTGTCCTTCTGATCAAGAAAGCAAACAAATCCACCTCACATTAAGACCTAACCATCCAGTTGCCACATCGTGCACAGGACCTGCTAAATAACTATGGATCACTCAATCCTGCCCTATATCTGCTCACCACCTTGGCCCTGCAAGACCATGAGTCAAAAATAACCCCTTGAGAGATGCTTAGTACATGCTGTTTATGGATGGAAGTAGCTCTATTAGAAATGAAATCCAGGGGCTGGGGATTTCAGCGGCATAAGCGCCTGCCTTGCAAGCAGGCAGTCGTGAGTTCGATCCCTGGTACCAATAAAAAAAACCGAAAAAGACAAAAAAAAAAAAAAAAAGAAATCCAACAGGCTACATATGTTGTGGTCATCTTGGGCAAAGTCATTTTGGCCAAAACTTCCCTGCTACTACTTCCTCCTGGTGTTTGTAAACCTGTTGCCAATGATGCCCAGCTTATGCTCCCAAGCCCCCTTCAGAGATCCAATTGACTGAGACGTCGACCTCAGCCAAAAACATTTTACTTGGATGAGCATCCCCGGAAAATCCATTGTAATCAGAGCCAGACCTGTCCCCACCATAAGTAATGCAAGCTCAAGCCACAGCACTGTCACCCGTATCCCAACAACAAGCTCAGGCATCAGTGTCTGTCACTGGCCCAGACTTCTCCCCATTTAAAGATATACAGATAGACTTAGTGCTCATCTCCACCTCCTTGGGCTGTCTCAAGGCATTTCCTACCCAAGATGAGAGGGCAATAAAAGTTGTAGAGTCCTGCTATGAAAATTCATCTCTAGATATGCCTACCCTTGATTATTGGCAACAACAGTGGGCCTGTATTTGTAGCAGAGGTAACTAAATA